TGATCCAGTGCATAGCTTCAATCTCCAGTGGTGTCAATAGTCATGAGATGTCTACTCCATTTGTAAACTCCTGAGGCAGGTGGCCTTAACCCTCTCTGCCTAACACATTTCTATGTCCTTGTTATGGTGGGCCTAACAAACTGACAGACAGCTACAGGACAGGTGTGGTCCTGTAGCTGAATCCTGAATAAATGGCACTTGTTAACTTGTGAGGGAAGGAGATGTTTAGGTCCTAGACATCCCAGCAAAGGAATGGGCTGATCTGCCTCCTGTTTCAATCCAATAAATTCCTTTCCTTACTGAGTATATTCAGATTCTGATACAGTTTGCTCAAAACCAAGGGTCTTGAGTSATACAATAAGAAGAGAGAAGCRGARGATGGCAGCTAGAGGGAATCAAGGAAAGAGGAAGATTTTGTTTTACTTTAAGTAAAAGACCTGAGTTTGTTTATAGGCCTTTGGAAGAAGCCAGTAGAGGGGAGAGATCAGATGTCTGACAAAGAGGGAATACTTGACAAAGCAAATGTGGATCTTGAAGAGATTAGAACAAAACATGGGCAGGGAGTTATTTTTCTACTGGATATGGAACACCTCACCCTCGAAGCTGAAGGCAGGAAGTGAGGTGGTGCATAAGCAAGTCTATTTTCAGAGGATGAATGAGAAAGTTAAAGTCATTTGTATATATTGGTCCTGATTTTCTTGATTAAGGAAGAGTCAGTCACCTCCCAAGAAAGATGGGTAAACATTGTGGTAGGTGGCTTGAGGATACCAGACAATTTTAAAATTGGCCCTTATGGTAAATGAGGGAAGGAGTTGTCTATATGTAAAAGGATCACCAAAGTTTCCAAACACTCAAGAAAGGATTACCACCCAGTGTCCAGGTGATATGGGTGATTATGGATTTGTAGGTGCATCCAAGCAGTTAAAAACCCACTCAGAGGCAAGGGTGGAGGAGAGTTCTCTTCTCTTGATGGAAAGAGTGTCGAAGAATTTTTAGCCATCTTTTATTTTTTAATTTTATTCTTATTTTTGGTCCTGGGGATTGAATCAAGAGATGCTCTATTGAAGTGGCACTCCCTTTCTCCACAGAAAAGTCRTAACTGAGAAATCTTCACCACGGCTGATTTTAGAACTGTCAGCAAAAGAGACTATGCAAAAGAGTTCAATGTAAATAAACTTCCTATTTTCATGTCGCCCTGTTTTACTTGGCCACTGGCCAAGAAGATACCAGCACTCCAGGTTTTTCACAAACATATCCAGTATAGCTGTTTGTAGAAATGTGCAAACAAGGCCTCTGGCCTTGAGCTGGGCTTCACTGATGTCTACATTTTTAAGATAAGTTACAATTGGGCTCCATGGTAACAGCTGGCAGGGGAGGAAAGAAAGAGGAGAAGAAGCTCTCCCCTTCTCAGGTGTTGTCCTTGAAGAGTTAACTTGCCCAAAACAGTAAAAGAAAAAACTGCTTTTATGTGAACTTCTGCAGACTGTGAACTTCTGAGCCCCTCCCCTTACATGCTGGGTATAAAACTCTGAAACTCCCTGAACTCGGGGTTCAGGGGTTTGATTGATTACAGCAAAGGCTGTACCCTCTGAACCTGGTTGCAGCCAAATAAAACTGTTTTCTGCTATCTTCGGTACCCTGCCTCGTTTGTCCCTACAACACTATTTCTGAGCTACATCCTCAGCCCTTTTGGGTGGCGAGGAGTGGGAACTGGGATTGAACTCAGGGGCACTCAGCCACTGAGCCACAT